TGGTGGGTAGTCAGTAAAGCTGGTTTTCTTCTTCCATGTGTGTGATAGCAGTAGGGAGTTGTGGGGTCTCTGGGGAGGCGCAAAATGTGTGTCTAGCCTAAAGGCATTCAAATTTAAATTAAAAACAGACAAACAAAAGAACTGCCAAGTGCCAGGGCAGACCATCGTTTATACTAGCCTGGTGCTGTCACTTTGTAATCTCTACACCAGGCAGACCTCAGTTTTGGGGGCCGGGGGGTGGGCAGGTGAGCTGGGATGGGGCAGGGCATGGCGGGGAGAAGCTGGGACAAGCCCTTGGCAGGCAGAGGGCAGGCAGCAGCAGATACGGGAGGCCTGGCCCCAGGGAGGTTTTAGGGGCAGGATTCCAGTCTTTAGAATAATTTGTGGGCAGAGCAGCTGCTGCGTTGGAGGGAAAATAGTGCTGGGTAGGGAGGTGAATCAGGCACCCAGCAGAAGAGATAGGAAGGATTTGGAAAGCAAAATACAGGCACTGGCCTGATTACCAGGAGCAAAGCCCTTCTTTTAGTGGCCAGCTAGGCCACCAGAGCAGGATGTGGAGTGAAGCTAGCTGGGTGCAAAGTTGCCAGCCAGAGCCCTTTCCGTGCTCCCCAACCGGGGTGGGGGGGGCGTAGCTTGGAATAGCCAGGCTGTGCGCTGAGCCCTCTGATAGAGGGGCTCTCGATGCTGGAGGATGGAGGCAAGTGGGTGGGGTGAAGCCAAACAGTCATGAAAGTCCCTCTTTTGCCTTCAGGACATTAAGATTCTGAGGAAGAGGCTGGGAAGATACCTATGATACAACCTAGGAAGATTGACCATGCTTCCCTGGGTTAAAGGCAAATGAGTTAACATAAAGTGAAGGCTTCCATGCTAAGGAGTTGCAGAATAAAAGAAGTGATTCGACAGTTGGGTGGGGTTGTTCCAGGAAGCCCTCCTGAGGAGTGAGAAGTGGACAGGAGGGATGGGAGGGATATTGGACTATGAGCAGAGGCATTTCAAAGGGACAAAGGAAGGAGTGAATAGCTGCCCTTCGTGGATGGGAAGTAGATTATTCTGGAGCAGACTGACTTCCTCACATTAAGGTGGTTTATTTGAAAAGCCAGTAATTTGGGATGTTGCTTCACCTGCTCGGTGGCACCTCTGTAGACCTTTCTGAGAAATGTCTGACGCTGTGGATGTTAGCTGTGGACAACCAGACACTAAATTCTTTCAATCCTTCCTTGGCACTGGTTCCATATGTGTGACTTCAAGTGGTTCACTTCACTGATGCTGGACCGTTCGAACAAGTGCAACTTCTCTAGCACCCATCTCTTCCACCTGCAGGCGTGATGCTTGATTCTTTCAATGTCAGCTCTGCTTGACTATGTCAAACGGCTGTAGGGTCTTCTCCATCTGACTTGTCTGTTTCCAACTTTCTTCACATCATTTCTTCTGCCTTGAATGCCTCCTGTTTTAATCGACTAATTCATGCCCCTCACCCTTTTCAAAGAAAACTCAACTTCATCTCTTGTTGGGAATGCTTCCCCAAGACCACAACCAGGTTCCGTGATATTCTCTGAGGACTCACAGGATTCAGCATATAGTCATACAGCTACGATTCGTTACAGTGGAAGGATATAAAGCGAAATCAGCAAAGGAAAAAGGCACACAGGGCGAAGTCTGGAGGAAGCCAGGCGCAAGCTCCAAGAGTCCTCCCCACCATCGATGTCACAGAGGGTCACGTAATTCCTCCAGCAATGAATTGTGACAATGTGTGAAATGTTGTCTACCAGGAAAGCTCATTAGAGACTCGGTGTCCAGGGTTTTTATTGAGGACTGGTCCTGTAGGCATCCTCTGCCTAACTTATACCAAAATTCCAGACCTGCAGAAGAAAAACAGGTGCTCAGCAATAATCACATTGTTTGCAAAAATAGTTTGGGCACAGTGCACCACCTGAATCAGTTAGGAGAACCTGCCACAAATCCACCCTCCAAGAGGTTAACCAAGGGCCATCCTTGGAAGCAGAACTTTCTAACATTTCTAAGGATGGCAGTCTCAGGCCTGCTATGTTACCTCTTTTCTGCATGGCTTCCCTGCATAATTTCACCCATCCATGCCTAGCTGTGATTATGCTGGGAGAAAATCACTCTAGATAGAAGCCAGGAGACCTAGGACTAGCCCAGCATGGCCACCTACTGCTGGTGACCTTTTGAACCCCTAGACTCCTTTTTCTTCCTTCGTTTGGGAGAGAGGAATTGTAATTCTTCTTTGTAGGCCTCAAGGGTGACTGTGAGGACCAAAGAGATGACATAGTGGGTACTCCATCTGTCCCTCTTGGTTGAGCTCCTTCTGTGTGTCAGGTGCTGAGGGAAGTGTGGTGTAGTGGCTTTGAGAGGAGACCAGCCTGAGATTAAGGCAGCACTTACCACCCGTGGCCCCTTGAATACGTTTCTATAATCCTAATGGGTAGAATGGGAACACGAATAGTAAGACTAGTGCCTATACCTCGTTGGGTTGCTGTGCGAAGTGGGAACAACCCATGTAAGCTTCTAGCACATTGTAGGCCCCTAAAGTGGTAGCTCTTCATTCACTCAGATATCTGAGCGTTTGCTCTGCCAGCACCCTGAAAAAGACCCGGCCCCAGCCCTGCCTTCTGTTTGCTGGTGCAGATAAATATTGAACTGATAATTACATAAAGAAACGAATTGCAATCACAGCCTGTGCTGTGGAGGAGAAGCAGAGTGTGATGAATAGCATACGAGGAGGAAGAGGGGACCGAACCTGGCTAAGGAGGCTTGGGAAGGCTTAGCTGAGTATGACATGCTTCAGCTGGCCTCAGGGGGCGTTTGGCTCAGTGAGAGAGAGGCGAGGGCGGACAGGCTGTTTCCGGCAGAGACTGAAGCTTGAGCAGAGGGAGAGGGAGAGCAGCGGGGTGAAGGCTGCGGGGGCAGGTTTGCCACGTGTGTGAAGAATGACAGGGAGGCCAGGGAGGATGGAGAATGGGCAAGGGGAGAAGGGGGCTCCCAGATGACACTGGGGATGTAGGCAGGACCGCTGCAGCGTGTGTTAGGGCTTGGGGACATTAAGAGGATTGGGAGGCCGTGAAAAGATCGTGTGAGTGACGCAGCTTGGTGTTTTCAGAAGCTCAGTTAGGCTCTGTGTGAAAAATGCTCTGGAGGAGCGAGTGGCTGAGGGAGACTAGTTGTAGGAGGCTGTGCGGTGGGCCCAGCTGACAGGGGTGGTGGTTTGAATCAGGGTGTTGGTTGTGAGGGTGGTGGAGAGAAGAAGATGGAATGTACCCGTCAGGTACACTCAGGGGGCCTCTGTGACTGATAGGATGGGGAGGGGGCGGGAAGGCATTGGCCAGATGATGCCAAGGAATATAAAGAGTGGGTCTTCACTACAAGGGAGCTCTGGAGAGAGAGCAACTTGGGAGAGGGGATGTGTTAGCCTTGGAGTGCCTGCAGGACAGTCAGAAGGAGGCACGGTGTGGGCAGCCTGAATGTGAGTCTAGATGCAGAGGAGGTGCAGGGTGGGGAGAGAGAGATGGTTGGGAGCTGTTAGTTCATGCATTGTCTCTGGTGTTGGGCAGTGTGGTTTCAGGGAAGCGCAAGGGAGAGTGTGTGTTTGGAGGAGGGATTGGGGGGCAACAATGTCAGACATTGCTGAGGAGCCAGGTAAGATGAAGACTGAAAACAGACCATTGGCATTAGTGACCCAGCCGTTGCTGCTTTGGGTGGCTTGGTGAGGATGTGAGCCCGGCTGGAATGGGCCGAGGATTGGATTGAAGAGAGGCCAGTGGAGACGGTCACTCCACTGGGGAAGGGTGAGGGTGAATGAAGAAGGTTGGCTGTGAAGGAAGGAGAGAGCTCAGACTTTTGAGAAATATGAGCGTGTGGATTTTTAGTGTTGCTTTGCTCTCTGGAGAGACCTGTGTGAACGCTGATGGAAGGAGCCAGCCGACCAGGAGAAGTTGGCGATGAAGAAGGTGGGGTGGGAGACAATGGATGTTAAGTCCAGTCCCCCCTGAGAAGGCAGGAGTTCAGGACAGGGGGAGAGGTTGCCCTAATTCAGAGGTCACCTCTAACACGCCCTGGGAGGGAGAGGGCAGAGCAGGGGCCCCCCATGCAGGAAGACACGCAGGACTGATGTCAGGAAGTGGAGGTCGTTCTGGTCTGAAGACTTCTATTTTTTTCTGTGCAGTAGGAAGTGAAGTTTCTGGGTGAGAAGGGGCCGGGTCCTGGCGGGTGGCTGGGGGGGGGGGCGTGGTCAAGGTTTATGGAGAAGAGAAAGGTTTGAAATAGATACTGAAAACAAGAGAATGGGCTGAAAAGGAAAACCTGGCCTCCAACTCTGTTACCTGTCTGCATGATGAAGCCTCCAGAAAAGCGACCCTGGCAAATGTGCCAGCTCTCTAGCACCTTGTGAGGCACCTGGGTGAGGGCCCCAAACATGTTTATTGACCGAAAGGTTGGCCTGTCTACCTTTAAAAATCCTTCTCGGCGTCTTCCTCTCCTTCCCCAGTACCTGGCTCCCCCTGTGACACATCCCCAGGGTCTAGTTCACTTTAGTAGGGGTAAGGAGTGGGGCTCAAACTCCGCTTTTCCAGCCCCGCCTGGCTGGACCCTCCCCTCCTGACCCTGACACCCCCTCCCCAAGTCAGCCAGCATTATTAGCCAGCTTTGCCCCGTCTAGCTGGAACTGGTGGCATTTCAGGACTTAGAAAGGGTTGAGATGAGAAGGTTTAGGCACTGGGAAGCAGGATGGGTGGGAAATGAAGCTTTTGGTAAGGGATCCGTTCAGTATCAGATACTCTCCGTCAGTGTCTATGGTGTACCTATCACATGCACCGTCCAGTGTCAGGGCCTCAGTAAACAAAAGAAACCCCTCTGCCCCCCCAGAGCTTGTATTCTGGCTGGGGAAGTTCGGAGGTAAAGAAGTAAACCTATACCACGCCTGACGGTGGTGAGTGCTTTGGAGAGAAATGCCTCAGGGGAGGGGGTGTGGCGTCAGGGAGGTGGTGTTTCCCAGTGGGGCAGTCGACGAGGGCCTCACTTGTGAGGTAGCGTTTGAGCAGATACCTGAAGTGTGGGAACAAGCCATTCCGGCACCAGGCGGACAGACAGCAAGGAAAGGCTCTCGCGCTGGTTAGGAAGAAGCGAGGCCAGTGTGGCTGGAATGTGTGCATAGAAACTGAGGACAGGCCAGATCACGCAGGACGCGAAGAACACTGGCTGTAAGCCCGAGAGATGGGGCCACTGGGGCTGAGGAGTGGAATATCTGACTTCTGTTTTTAAACAGATGGCTCTGGCTTCTGGGGTGTGACTGAGCTCTATGGGGAAGGGCAGAGGCAGGAGGCCAGCTAAGAGATTAATGCTGTTTCCAGTGGGAGAGGATGCTGACTTAGAGCAGAGTAGCTGTGCTGAAAGTAGGGAGCAGCAGTTTGAGATGTTTGAAAGAAGAGCTGGGAGGATCTGTGTTGTGGGGTGCAGAGTAAGAAGAGCCAAGGGTGATTCCAAAGTTTTGGCCCAAGCAGTAGGGTGATTGGTGGCGCCATTTTGCTGAGGTGGAGGAAGGCCTTGGGAGGAGCAGGTTGGGCGGGGTTGGCTGTGTTACTACAGAGGTGTCTGGTGAACGAACAGGGAGATGTGGACCGGGCACTTGGAATGAGGAGAGGTCCAGATTGTGGATAGAAATTGGGGTGCTGTCAGCCTCGGATGGCCTCTAGGGCAGGAGCCAAGATGAGCTCACCAGAAAAATGAGCCTGGAGAGAAGAAAAAGGTCCAGCACCAGCCTGGGTCCTCTGAGTGATGGGGAAATGAGGAGTGGCTAGTGGGGAGGAAGAGGAATGGTCTAGGAGCTGGCCCAATGGTCCAGCTCTGTGTGTCTCACATGGTAACCTGCTATGGAATCTAGCCCAGAAACTTGCTCAACAAGCAGACTTCTAGCTACTACTGAGAGATCTCAGTTCTGAAGTACATTATGGGGTAGGCTAAAATATTGTGACACGTAGGCTCCCCAAACAGAGGTCTGTTTCTCTGGGGGAAGATGTCCAAGCCAGCATCTTTATCATGCTCCAGGGCACACTCTTAGGGCATTTGGTTGTTGTACTTTGTATGTAGGCATGGTCCCCACCTGGACTCAGCTGTCTGGGGGACGGGAACTGTGTGGTAACTTGGGGTCCTCCCCCACTGTAGAATGAGGCATGGGCCTCTGCACACAGCAGGCACTGAATACATGCTGACTAGGAGTAAAGGATGGACATGCTCGGATATTAAGTGCTTATTTATACGTCAGGCACTGTGTGCTAGTAATTTACATGAATGAACACATTTAATCCTAACCCCAAGCCTTAGAGGCAGGTACTATTATTGTCCCATTTTCTAGATGAGGAAGAGATGACTCAGGTAAGTGGATGACAGAAGGAAGTGAACCCCACGGTCTGATTCCAGAGCTGGTCTCTAGGCTGTCCTGCCTCTCACCCAGACCTCCGTCCAGGTGTCGGGCGAAATGTGGTACATTTCCCTGTAGCCATGACACAGAGCAAAAAGCACTGGACTTGGAGTCAGGAAGCCTAGAGTGCGGTTCTGCTCCGCCACGTGAAGTTGCTTGACAGCTCGGGCCCCGGGTACGTCGTCCATCAGAAGGGTGACGATGGTAGTATTGCCACAGGGTTGGTGTGAGGACTGCGTGTGATGTCGTGTGTAAGCCTACACACTGCTAAGGACTAGTGTGTGTGAGTGGTAGTGTTAGAATTATTATCTTGAAAGAGCAAACCGTGGAACCCCGAAGATGACCCAAAAAAGTTGCCAGCGGGATACAGATCGCAGGAAACCCAAACAGGCCTTGTTTCCCCCAAAACAGTTCCTCTGTAGACTTTTATTTACTGATGTTTCTGCATGAGATTTGGTTTGATGAGTGTCACTATTTTTTAAAAGCTGTGATATCCCTGGCTCGCTGATCCCTTAAGCCCTTGTACAGTTGACTGGCTCAGTGGTTGGGGAGAAAGTCATTCTTTCAAATTCTTTCTCTTTCTCTTGCCCCCCCCCCCCCCCCCCCCCGGGCTCCCTTCCTTCTCTCCCTCTTCTGCTGTCCTGATCCTAAGAACCCGATGTCCTGGGTTGTGTGAGGGGCTCGAGCGTTCTGTGAGTACGCCTCAAGGACGCCCACCCATGTGTGCGCTGGGCATCTGGGGTACACCTGGAGTAGCAGACCTCAGGAAGCCTCTAGGTTATACTGCCCCAGTACAGAGCTGAGAGGAGAGGGCCACGCCTGGTCCCATCCAATTTCTCCGTGGGCCCCGGGGCCAGAGCTGGCCTCGCCGCTGATCAGGAGGGGATTGCTCCGTCTGCCCCTTGCAGAACATCGACTCCTGCCCCAGCCGCAGCCTCTCCCGGCTCTGAGGCAGTGGGCAGTGTGTCACACAGCTTTGGAGATGTGACCTGGCCCAGAGGCAGCTGGGCGTGAGCTCGTGTGAGAGATGAGGCACGGCTAGAATGAGGTTGGCCTTTAGTAGCTAAAAGTCGCCAAAAGGTCAAACCAAGGTTTCTGAATCCACCTTGGCGTGTCTGCTGTGGATCCTGTCTAGGGGGGTCTCAGGGCCCTCCCCTTTCCCCAGAGCACCCATGGGCCATGGAAGGTGGGGCCGGGCCAGGCTTCTGATTCCAAGCCCAATCGCAGCCTCCCAGCCATTGTCTCTTGGCTGTCTCCACACTGCCACGTGGCTCTGCTTGGCCGGGCCCCTGGACTCTCCTTCTCCCCGTGTGCATGAGACGGTAGGATGGTTGGGAAGGGAGAGGACGAGAAAACCGTAAGGCTCAGATGACGCCCCAGGACGTGAGGAAGTAGGGACCCCCACCCACATTTGGAAAGAAGACCGGTTGGGCCTTTCCCGTGAGGAGAGGTGGGAGTTTGGCAAGAATGAGGGACAGAGGCTGACCCAATCTCAGGGGAGTCCCGCAGGGAGCCCTGCACAAGTGTGGTCAGGGGTGGGAGAAGGCCACACAGCACAGTGTCCCCAGGGCCAAGGGATCAGGGGGTTTCAAGGAGGAAGTGCCAAATGCCACATAAAGGGCAACAGGGCTACAATTTAGGACACACTGATTGGTGGGTCTGATTGTATGATTACAGTTTAGGTCATCGAACTAATGTAGTATGCTTTTCCAAACTACCTAGGCCGCCCTCCTTCGCCCATCCAACACCCAGAGGATTCGGGCCCCCCAGCTTGTTCAGGGGCGGGGTACGGAGAACTGGGAGAGCAGGTAAGCTGCAGGGAGGTGCCCATGGGGTCCTAGGAGGGACACAAGTCTGCAGGCCCTGCTCGGGGTGGGGGGGAGGGGAAGTGGCCGGTGCGGGTGCTGCTGGGCCGGAGCCCACTGCCCACTGCCCGTGACGGGACGGGGGTGGGGGTGCGGGTGGGGGTGTGAGGAATCCGGGCCCACCGTGCTGCATTGCTGTTTCCTCATCGGTGTCTGCGTGCAGTAGGTCCTCAGCAAAGGAGTGATTTACAAAAAGTGATTGAATGAGTGAACCTTTAGTGGGAGATAGTAAAGTGTAACTATGAATCCAGAATAATGCTTTGGGTGAAGTGAGGAGGAGAATGTGTTTGGAGGAGGAGACAGAGAAATGAGAAAGGCAACTCTGGCTAGAGGAAGAGCAGTTAGCTTAGCGAAGGGTCCTCGATAAGCGGGAGCAGCGCCTTGTCTTGGGGAGGAGCTGGTATCTGGGGAAATCATGGAAGTAGGTCCAACTTAATGCACAGGCGTGAAGATGAGTCGACGAGGTGCCGTGCCCACCCACAAGGGTGTGGTGTGACTCAAGCCTTAATGGGGGTGCTGACTGTAGGGGAGGGCACAGTGGGTGGGCTCTCAGGACTCAACTCTGTGATCAGAACTGCCACTCATCACTATCACTTCTGGGCCCGGACGGGGGAATGGGGGTAGGAATATAGGGATGCAGAAAAAGCAAAGTGCATGCACAGCACACCAGTGAGTGAGGGAACACACACAAGCATGAAAAGAACATAGGACGGAGAGGGGAATATTTAGGCAAGTCGCACTGGGGTGGGGGCGGGAGCCCGAGGTCATTGTCTCCTGCGTGAAGGGGTGTCTTCAGGAAAAGAGACTAGGCTTTCTCCCTATGGTCACAAATGACTCCTGACTTCCCTCCCTTTGCCTTCACTCTTCCCCATGTCAGGGAACAGCACCACCTCCACCCAGGTGTTGAGGCCCAATCCTGGTGTCAGCCTCCCGTCCTCGCTGCCTCCCAGCCTCATATTCAGTCCCTGGACTGCTCCATTTCCCTGCCACCACCATGGTCCAGGTCTGCGCTGTCTCTCCGACTGCTGCAGTGTCTGCACTCCATCAGCCTCCTGACTGCTCTCCCTCCGCCCCCCCGGCCCTCACAGCCCCTTGTCCGTGCGGCATCCGTAGTGGTCTTTGCAGGCTCCAAAGCAGACACTGCCATTAGTTCCTTAAAATACTCATGCTGCTTCCCGTTGCTTTGTTCTTAGAACAAAACCAGACTCCTTCCTGTGGGCGCCCAGGCCCATGTGACCTGGCTCCTTCCCCGGCTCCTGTTGCTCTTCCCCTTGTCCCTGACATTAGGCAACACGGGCCTCCTCTCTGTTTCTCAAACACAGCAAGGCCTTTCCCAGAACCGAGTGTTAGCCTTGCTGTTCCTCCACCTGCTGTGTCCGTCCTGCTGCTCTTCACACTTGCTCCTTCTCATCCTCCCCTGGCTGTTCAAGTATCACCTCCTCCCTGAGGCCTTCCTGTCTACAGTGGCTGCTTCTGTTTCTTATTTCAACATCCTGTTTATTTCCTTCAGAGGACTTATCACAGTTTGTAACTGCCTCCTTTGTCGCTACTCCCTTGTCTCCTCCATTAGGTTGTAAGCCCCACAGGAGGAGACTTGGACCCTCTCTCTCTTGTTCTTCCCTGGCCCCCGGAGCCTGATACAGTGCCCCACATGTCAGACAGTCAGGTTATCCCTCAGAGTGGGGGACATTGATGGAGGGGCTCTGAGGCAAATGCTCAGTCAGAATCAGAATCATAACCCTCCTAGCAATTCCTATGTACCACCATTATAAGCTCTTCATGCATACGGCGGTCAGCAAACTTCTTCTGTAAAGAACCACATAGTAAATATTTTAGGCTTTGGGCCATATGGTCTGAAGCACAACTGTTCAACTCAGTTGTGGTAGCAAAAACAACAACAGTAACAACAACCAACCAACCGTAGAAGATATGTAAACAAATGAACATGGCTCTGTTCTGATAAAACTTTATTTACAAAACCAAGTGGTGGGCCGGCTGACCCCTGACGTATGGCATTAACTTATTTAATCTTCAAAGATTCTCTGAGGTAACTACTATTATCATTATCACTGTTTTATAGATGAAGAAACTGAGAAGCATAGAGACCAGGTAACTTGGCTGAGATCATACAGCTATTCAGGGATAGAATCAGGATTTGTGCCCAGGCAGGTTGACTCCAGAGCCCAGAGTGGTGGCCAGCATCCCACACTGCCTCTTGGCAGGCTTTGGAGAAGCAGAGAGGAACCCCAGCACCTCCTTATCCCCTGAGGGCCTCCACTGCTTCCTGGCTATGGGAAATCTCCAAGTTTCCTCATTCAACAAACTGGGGATGCTAATGATGTATCCGTTATTGGGTTGCTGTCAGGATTAAAATGAGCCTGTGCATGTAAATTAGCTGGCTCTGAGCCTAGACATAGCCTCACTGAGTGTAATCCTGACCCCTATCCAATTCCAGCCCTTAGGTTCCATTCACATCGTTTCATACCGTCTCCTTGCTGTCTGTCTGCCTCATTCAGATTTGCCCTAGGTTGTCTTCGTGGCCCTCCTTCCAACAGCCCCCTTTCAAGAAGTCCTCACATTAATCCTAGAGTTCCCCTATTAGGCGAACGCTGACCGAGTGCTCTGCGCCAGGCATGGGGCTGGCTCTGAGGATCTGGAGACCTCCCTGAGGAGCTCGCCAAGGAGCTGACCCCAGACAGCAGGGAAGACTGGGAAAGGGTTGGAGCTGAGTCTGATGGCCGAGACACTGGAGTCAGAGCTTCCCAAAGAAGAAGCTTTTGTGTGGGAAGATCAGTGGTGTTCTCTCTGTTTTTTTTCTCTTGGTCTTAAGTTCTGAGAGCCAATCTAATAGCACCACTTGGAGCCAGGTGGACTCGAGATGGGCTCTGAGACTTCCCCATAGGTGAGATTGATGTTGAGGGCACACGGGGGTGGGCACCCCAGGAGGGGTGCAGGGATGCCCTTCAGCCCTGGAACTGCCTTCTCTTCACCAGCAGGGCTTTTCTGCACTCCCAGGAAAATGGGGAGCCAGGGGCTTCCTGACAGCCTGGAGAGAAATCACACTTGTCTTCAAAGGAATTAAAATCTTACCCACATCATTCATCCTGTATCCAAGAGGACCCTCTCCTGGGAAAGTATAAGGAAAAGAAAAGAAAAAGAAAATACACCCTTACCTCTGCCCCTGCAACGCCAAAGCCACCCATCCCGTGGACGGGCAGTGGGTCGTCGGTAGGCTGTGGTCACATCTTGTCTGGCTGTCGTGGGGTCACCTGGCCTGTGCATGGTCTCCCTCCCACGTTACGCCTGGTGGAAAATGGCCTCATTACTTCTGCGTTTCTCCAAGGCCCCTTCCTCTTTGTCTAACCTACATGGCTAAAGGTTAATGAGAATAACACCAGTTTCTCCCAGAGTTCTCAAAGTAGTCGTATTGTTGTGTTAAAAGCCGTGGAAATGGTAGACAGGAAGAGAAGGTCAAGGGTTGGAGCAGAGGCCTAGCAGTTGTCTTGGGGGGTTTTGTCGTCCAAGGAAAGATCTTTCTGGGCCGCTGAAGACCGAGGCTTTGGTAACCACTTTAAATGCCTCTCACTTCTCCCTCATGCCATGCGGATAACATACTAAATAAAGTGTCTTCTTCCTCTTCTGCCGGCTCCCCCACCTCCATCTCCTCCTCCTCCTCTTCTTCTTCTTTTTTTTTTTTCCACTTTCCTGGTAGTAACTGTTCTTCTTGGAAGAGCAGAATCTTAGAACTCAAGGGCCAGGTGACTGAAAGCAGGAACTGCCTGTCCTTCTAGCAGATGGGCACCGGGCTCTCTGAGCCAGGGAACAGATCCCAGCGTCTCCTTGGGTCACTGCATCTGGGGATTTGACATTTTAACTTTTCCTCATCACTAAGCACATCTCTCCTCCTCTAATTTCAGCCCAGGACCCTTTGTTGGCTCTCGGGTGGGTCTGGGGAAGAACATACTTGCACCTGCCCCCTGTTGCCAAATGCGAGCGTCAGTCACGGAGTTGGCTCCTTATGCTTCTGGCAAGGCCTCAACGGAGCTGAGAAACAGGCAGTTTGCCTTCTAGCAGCCCCTCCTGGGATTGGTAGCTTTCACTGGCCAGTGTGGGGTTGCCCCCCCATTGCCCACAGCTCAAGGACCGTCCTGGGGCTCCTGGCCAGCCTTTGTGCCCCCTCGTCATCAGGCCCTGTCAGTCCCACCTGTCAGAGAAAGCAGCCTCTCTTGACTCTGCAGCTCTCAGGACCCTCCCTTACAAAGGAGCCTTGGGGGAAGACTGTAAACCTCTCAAACCCTTCCCAGGCACCTCTGTACACTTACCAACAGCCCCTGGATCCTAGCAGTCATTAGCAGGAGGGATCTCGGACCTAGTAAGGGGTGGAAGGTCACACAAGGCTGAATGGCGGTTACTCTGGGGGAAGCAGCACCCGTTAAATCCCAAGTAAGGAGTAAACAAGGGCTGCTCTGTAGCCACAGGTGTGAGTGGGAAGGGCAGACTTCAGTACCGGCTTGAAGGAATTTTCCACTGCTGTCCCTCTGGGATGTCTTCTGTCTCCAGATCTTATTTTCCTGACATAGATCTAAACCTATTATGTCAAATGCCATCACTAAAATGACAACTGAATTATTTGTAAAGTAAAAAAAAAATGTTTTTAATGCCTTGGGCAATTTTAAAACAATTATTGATTCCACAAAGGAAATGTGGCCACTCCTAGAAATCATATCATTTGTTCTGGAAGAGATGCTGGATGTCAGCTCGTCTCACTCACCTCCACTCTCTTAAGATTGTCCCTAAGGGACCCCAACCTGAAAAGTCCCCTACCCACATCCTTGCTTCTCTCCTTCTCTCCTTCATCCTCTCCTGGTGGTGCCATCAATTATTCAGTCTTCCAAACGAACCTGGGATTCATCCTCCACTGTCCTCTCTTACAGCCCTTCCAC